TTAGTTGGGCTGCTGAAAAGCAGCTCTAATTTAAAAATCCTTCTTGTGCAAATTAAAGTTGTAATCATTATCATATAGCTATACTAATTGTTCTTCCATATCATGACTCTTTAATCTATTCTTGGAAAGATAACATATATTATAAAAAATATCCTGTTAAAATTATCAGAACAAATAATTTTAAAAAGTGGATTGTGGATTCTAGCCCCATGAAGAATATTTTTTTCCTCATGAAGAATTTCTAGATTGTTTAACTATACTCAGAGGAAGCAACTGAAAAAATGTCAGATGTTACAATAAAACAATAATTTTAGTTGCCTTTTACATCCTTTGTCAATACAGGTAGTCCTCAACTTACAACCACAATTGAGCCAAAAATATATGTTGTTAAGTGAGAAATTTGTTAAATGAGTTTTACCCCATTTTACAACTTTTCTTGCTATTTCAGTTAAGTGAATCACGGCCGTTGTTAAGTTAGTAACACAGTTGTTAAGTGAATCTGGTTTTCCCATTGACTTTGCTTGTCAAAAGGTCACAAAAGTGGATCACATGATGCTGGGACACTGCAACTATTATAAATTTGAGTCGGTTGTCAAGCATCCAAATGCAAATCACGTGACCATGGAAATGCTACAATGATCATAAGTGTGAAAAATGGTCATAGATCACTTTATTCAGTGCTGTTGTAAGTGTTGTAAGTCGAGGACTACCTGTATCAGTTTTCTCACACATCTTAACATTCTTCCCAATTTTGTTTTAAACATGCTACATACCGTGTTTCCTCGAAAGACCTACCCCGAAAATAAGCCCTAGTTTTGGGGTGAGGTGCACGCCTAAAAATCAAGCTAGGGCAGGGGTGGGAGGGTGGAGTTGCCCCATGTGCCCCACACACACTTACCTTGCAGCCAGGCGTCCCCTCGTCAGCCCACTTCTTCTGTGGCGTCCCCAGGCCTGCATTTTGCAGTCACAGGCCTTTCCGGAAGGCCACTGCAGCGGAGAACTGAGCGATGGACTCAATCCATAGTTTGGTTCTGCAAGGCCTCTGCAGCCAAGAACCGAGCTATGGATTGAATCCAGTTTGGTTCTCCACTGTAGTGGCCTTCCGGAAAGGCCTTTGACTGTAACGTGCAGATCAGAACTCCATTCTCAGCTGCAGAATGAAGCTGCTCTTTTGGCCGCAGAAGAAGTGGGCCAGCTGAGTGGGGCTGTCGGTGCCAGAGCTGAGTGGAAAAGACACAGACCCCTGGTGAAAATAAGATCTTGTGCCTCTTTTGGAGGAAAAAAAAAAAAAAAAGACCAGGTTTTATTTTTGGGGAAACAAGGTATACTCTTACTAATGTAACTCGTTTACCACCGAGTAAACATATTTAGGATCACTTTTTTTCCCTTGATTTCAGATCTGTAAAAGGACTTCATCTCAATATGGTCTCTATATCGAAATATGGTTTGGGAGCCATGGTAGGCTTACTATTGGGAGCCTATGTACCATGGCTGGTGGGCCTAACCAGAGAAGACGCACGGCGCATGTTCCCTTTTTTTAAGCATATGTATCATCTATTGCGTGAATCTGGGTATATGCATATCCAGGCCACCAAACCAGATACAGCAGGTTAGTAAACTCAATTCTTTATGAAAGATCAAAAACTCATACATAAACTAAAACAAATCTGAAGTTAATGTACGAAACATTTTAAGGAAGGCAAGCAGCACCAACTGAAGCAATGAATCAGCAGGTTTCAGAGTCATGTTGTTCTACCCACAAATCTTGGAATATAAAATATTTTTTCAAAAAGTAAAAAAATCAAGACACATTCATTTTTATATGGCCTGCAGGGGGTTGTGGTATCCCCAGGCGGTGGCCAGCCTCACTGCTGCTGCTGTACTCCCAGAGGTTGCTGACCCCCTGGCAGCTGCATCACCCCTGGTTGTTGCAAGGCTCCTATCTGCTGCTGCACATCTGGTGGCTGCGGCCACCCCCAGATTGGCTGCTGCACCACCAGCGATTGCTGGCCTCCCACCTGTGGAGGCTGCGACATTCCCCATTGCTGTATGAGTCTCAGGCTGGGTGGCTGCTAAGCGCATTAATCCATTGATGGCTCGGGCTCTTATCTCGTCGGCAGCGATCTGGGCTTTTGGAGGGGTGACGACTGGAGCTGTCTCTCCCCGCGTGGCTGGAAGCCATGGTAGGTGGCTTCGAGGACAAGGAGGCTGCCTGATCTGCACAGGTGGGACTGGAGATTCCCCTTGGCAGGAGTTCGTGGCTGCCTCGCCGATCATTGTGATCGCTCGCATATGGGGAACAGGAAGGCTGTTCTCCACTTTTCATCTCTAGCTCCTCAAATCTTTCCACCAACTTCTCCACTGATTGACTACGGGCTGCAGACAGGTACTTCCACTCACCCGAGTCTTCAGCGGTAGTTGATTTTGTGGTTCTCCACCGGTCTGGGGAACGCGATGTGTGGGAATCCCCTTTGCAACTCAACCTCGTCCGCCTTCGAAGCACTTGATTGTGGCAAGGCCATCTCGAGGTTTCTGGAGTCTCTACTGGGTAAGGTCCATTACGATGACCAGTTCACCTGTCCTCACAGCTTGGGCAAAAAAGTTCCTTCTCCACCGGCGCACTGGCTTGCACTCCCCCCTCTGGGATAGCAGCCACCACTGGGGTGCTGGTTTCAGGCACTCTTTCTTTCTCCATATTGAATTCTTCCCTGAATCTTTGTCAGCCTATCGCTCAATTCTAGGGATAGGGACTGGGGCTTGGGACCCCAAGATAGTTAGGTAAAAATTATAGTTTTTGGCTTAATGTCATGGTTCCGACTGATGAAACTCTTCAAAACAACTTCGAGGCATTATTTATCTTAAATATCTTTTATTCCAGAAACAAAGTATCGGCACTACATAGTTAAAGCCAAAAACTGAATTCCCCTCCCCTGAGCACAAAGTAACAAAGCACAATTCCCTCCTCCAATTAACAGTCATAAATCATATTCCCCAATTAGCTTGAAGCGCCGGCTTTCTCCCCAGCTCTCCAGCCCACCAAATCTTTATCAACTCTGGGCGCAATAACCTTGGATTCCCAAGGTTGGGTTATTATTGTTATGACTAACTGGACTCTCGTCCACATTCCCCCTCCCAGCATCAACTAACTCTAAAAGCAAAAGAGTAAAATGGTTGCATTTCCATCTGTTGTCAAAGGAAGAACATCCGATGTTAGTAGTGTTGACAGCATTACAGATTGCATTGTGTATGTTCATGTTACCTCCAGACAGTGGAAGTCAAAAGCAATTTCAGACCTATAACTAAACCACAGAAGATGCTATTCAAATATCTACTTCTATAGGAAAAAAGTGTGTGTGGATGCTTTGGGAATCAGCATGCTGTATTTAGCAGCAACCCAACACTCAATATTTCTAATACTGGCAAAGATAGTATTTTCAGTCAAGTTGGTTTCATACTTACAAAAAGAATTAAGCTACCATAGTGATGTCAAAATGAGAATTGGTTAAAATCCAAAGCCCTAATTCTTGCTCACAAATCTTCTTAGTACAGTAGAGCTTCTAGCTCCAATGCAAGCAAGTAACGTGAAAGTAAATGTGCTGCTTTTCTCACTTAGGGTGTGGCCTGAATGACTCCCCTGTAGGACTTGCTGCATACATCCTAGAGAAATTTTCCACATGGACAGATAAATCATTCCTCAACATGGAAGATGGGAATTTGGAAAGGTAAGATATCTATAACAACTATGTTAGAAGAAAAAGAGAAATTGCAAATATATGACTGCTGGGTTAGAATGATTTGGAGAAGATTGCTGAAATATGAACAGTTGCAAGTTATATCAGATGAGTTGCAAGTATTTAATCCTGTGAAATCTCTTCGCATCAGCCAATAGTTGCTGGTAAATTATTTACTCTTTGCTCTAAACTTGTGACCTAGATTAACACGCATTTAAGCTCTACTAATAACATGTGATGCCCCTTCTAGAAAATACACTCTGGATGAACTTCTGACAAATATCATGATTTATTGGACGACTTCCTCCATTGTGCCTTCAATGCGTTTTTATAAAGAGAATTTCTCCAGGGATCCAAACACTGCTCCTGATGCCAAGTAAGAAGGAAGAAATTGTTCTGGTTTTGAAACTAAATTAGATGTAAATCTGAAATTTGCTGGTTTTAGATGTGAAGGCCATAATCAAAATTCCTTTGCCCACATGAAACCGGTGGTGAATGCCTAAAGTTTAATTCTACAGGATGTCCCAGAGAATGTTAAGTCTCAGTTTCTAAAAAGACATTCGAAGGCTACTATTGAGCAGATTGTTAATTTAAAATAGGATAAAAAAAATTAATAATTTGGCTATATATGAAAATATAGTTAGATTCTCCCAACCATCTTGGACCTATACTGACACCAATGTGACTAAGAAAAAAATAGCATCTATTAATTAATGGACTCTTAGATATGTTTTTTTTTTTTCTACCACAGGGTTGCCGTTTATGTTCCAACTGGCATTGCTGCCTTCCCAAATGAACTTCTTCATTGCCCACGCTCCTGGGCAAAGAAGAAATTTAAGAACATTGTCACTTATACCTACATGCCCCGGGGAGGGCACTTTGCTGCCTTTGAGGAACCAGAGCTCTTGGCTCAAGACATCAGACAATTTGTGAAGAAGGTGGAACATCTGAATTAAACTACCGGTATGTAGCGTTTTTCAGAAAATGCTTTATCAACCAAACATTGCAAGTTTCTGAGCAGCTTGAATTACTTACAGCAAAATATGGTTACTGTTTAAGTATGAAAGAGTTAGATTTTCTTCTTCTGTGTGAAGCAGTTACAGTCATATAAGATTAAAAAAAGGACAATACCGACATTAAAGCAAGGTTTCTACAAAGTAGTGGTTCATGTTCAGATTTACTTCTTTATACAAACTGAAATAGGACGGGCATTTTTATAGTTCAATGAGGCAGCACTTTCACAATCAGATAATTAAACAGATCATTTTATATAGTTTTCCAAATTGATTAATACTTGGAAAAAAAGTTGAATTTCATTTTTTAGATATGGTTATTTTCTCTACAGCATATTGTTTCTAAGCACAGAAGTATTCGAACATACAATAATTGTCTTCAACAATTGTCTTTAACAGTATAGTACACAATGACATAAAGGAAGACAATCCGTTATAGTGTAGATATAATAAAACACTTTAAGCAGAGTGGTTATTTAAATGCCACAGTCTCAGAGAGTGCTTGGCCATTGCTATATCTGTCCCAGATTTAAACTTTGGCATGAAAACATTTAACACTGCCTCCAAAAGCCCCTTACATCTTTCTGTGCCTCAGAACAACTGGTTAAGAAACATATCCATTTTCAGAGTTTCTGTATTGTCCCACCTGTCTTCCTTCATCAAGCTTCTTTCAGAATGAGACTAGATGTGGTCTCATAATGCTTGCCCAATATTCATCTGTCTTCATACAATCCAAGTATGTGCAATAGCTAATAGGGGAATAAGATTTCTTTTTCATCTATCTTATTACTTGACAGTATTGGTAAACCCAACTGAACAGGAAATCAAAACCAAATTTTACAATCTTAAAATGAATTTATAGGAACAATTAAACACAACTTCTATTTCCGTAACGGGTAATTTTAAAATGTTACGCTTTACTAATAAAAATCAGAGGCAGATTAGTATTCCAAAAGTATGATAAAAAAAAAACCCCTGGAGATCATTCACACATTCTTAGATAAGCATGTATGTAATTGTAATCACACCTGTCAATTTAGAGAACATCCGTCTGAATTGCTGCTTGAAATAGGAATGTACCTAAAAGTATCATACATCTACTGTACACAATATCAATTTCAAATAGCCATTATTCCTCCAGAGGGGTGTTCAACTATGCTGTCCTGAACTACAATCAATCTTTAGACAATTTTCACTATTGAAAAAAGTAGCAATTTATGTAGCTTTCATTGTATTTCTGGGGAAAAAACTGGAATACATCAAATTTGCATAGATGCACATATTCCACTGGAAATTCAGTATTGAATCAGGTATATACTGGCACAGGTATTTTCAAGTATCCTTTTATAGTAAAATCTGCAGCACAGAATACAGGTTAAAGGGTCCATAAGGCTTTGGCAATACATTGAATCAGTTATCCAGAGGTACTTTCTGTCATCATAGACATATGTACATTTTCACCTCTGTACTGCAGAGTTTAACATTACTTCTGAAAGAAGAAGAAATTTAAACAGGGGAATTGTTCTTTGCGATGTAAGAAACACAAGATTAGCATAGCTAGTTAAGAACTTTTCCTTAAATATTTATCAAGAAAAATAATTAAAGCCTTTGATTGTTACTGGAGCTTGGAACCATATATAATCATCCCAGACAGAGTTTATTTCTTCACAGGTGGGAAGGGCTGTACTATTTCCATCACTGCATGATAAGTTAACAGTCAATTTCCTTCCTCGAGTTGGCACTTTGTAGTTTAGTTTGGGTCTAAACCAGTCAATACCACAGTTGCGATGCCCTTGAACCATAACAATGACACTCATGGTGGGAATAGCCTGAAGCTCACTGAACACATCTGCCATGAAAAGAGAACGGAATAGCTTGCGAATACAGGTTGAGGTTGACAAACTCTGTTCGGTGCCACTCATGGATATATCTTGTAAGTTGATTTCATAGAGCTCTCTGGGGTTAACAGCTGTACCTCCAAGCAAAATAAGAACTCGTGGGACCAGTGTCAAACTGAACATGATTTCCAAGTGCTGGAAAATACCTTCAAGATCATTCAACACTTGCTGGCACTTTTTGTTGTCCTGATCTTTCAGATAAACCTTCTTGACCATGTCTTTTTCCTATGAAATTAGGGGATTTAAGAGATGCATAATTTAGTATAAAAGGAATAAGGAAACACTTTATTTCAAAGCAAAGTATTCACATATTATTTAGAACCCCATCCCAGCTTATTATAAGAAAAGATATCTACTGCTATGATAAATGGAGATACATGCATATTTATTCAGTTGTCATCTTGCTTGTATTTAACATCAACACAAGGCCACTGGCTGAAGTCCTCCAGCTGTACAAGATTGATATCATCAGTAGGATAATGATACCCAGTTATACATCCTAATTCAAGCCACCCAAATGATGCTGTCAGGATGCTTCCTCAGGGTCTGAAGGCCAGATGGGAAGGAATAGATTCAGGCTTAATCCTGGCAAAACCGAGTGGTTATAGGTATGGGACCTCTCAGAGTTGGGGAGCCGCCATCTTTGGCTTTGAATGCAGTAGCATTCTGAGCAGACCAAGATAGTATACAATTTGAGCATAAGGATTGCAGTGTCCCAGGTCATGATTCCCTTTTGCAACCTTCTGACAAGCTAAGTCAATGAGGAAGCCAGATTCACTTAACAACCGTGTTACTAACTTATCAGCTGCAATGATCCACTTAACAACTGTGGCAAGGAAGGTCATAAAATGGGGCAAAAATCACTTAACAAATGTCTCACTTAGCAACACAAATGCTGGGCTCAATAGTGGATGTAAGTTGAGGACTACCTGTATTCCCTGCTCATTCCATAAATATGACAAGATGGTTATGCTCCAGGATCCTTCTTAAAATGCACCTTTTACTGGGACCGTCTTCTCTATTGCAACACCTATCTTATGGAACATAGTATTCCCTGATATTTGGATAGGCTCAGTTTTGTAAGCCATTAAGCCAGTGTTTCTCAACCCTGACCATTTTAAGGCATGTGGACTTCAACTCCCAGAATTCCACAGCCAGCAATGCTGGCTGTGGAATTCTGGGAGTTGAAGTCCACATGCCTTAAAATGGTCAGGGTTGAGAAACACTGCATTAAGCTTTTTCAAGAAGAGTTAATGTTGGGTAGCTGCTGCATGCCAGTTGCTGTAAATTAAAACACCCCTTCTTTCTCTTCCTATTTTTTTAAAATGCGAAATTCCACTCTTCTTACTACCAAGTTTATGCTGGCCCCCGAGAATTTTTTTTTTTCCCCACGAGAGGCAAAGCGGCAGAGAATCGACTCCCCGTAACACAAACCATCATTCGGGCCTAATGCCGGTTTCCGCTGGCCTCGAGCACAAGCCGAGGAGCCCGTCTTTCCGTTCCCTCGAGGGAGCGGCAGCCATCGTTCCCCGCCCCGCTGTGTCTCACCTGGCTAGCGGGCTTGGACAGCTGCTGCATCCGGTAGAAGCAGGAGAGCTGCTCGTAAGGCAAAGGCAGCTGCTGCCTCTGGTAGAGGACGTGCTTTAAAAGCTCGCAGGTGAAACGGAAGCAGCCTTCGCGGGTGACCGAGCCGGGAAAGACGACGGACAACGAGAAGGCGCCCCCAGGAGCTGGAGCCGCCGGCTGAGTCGTCAGCGCCACAGTCACAGACACGGTGGCGGCCTCGCGGAGCTCTAGGCTGGTCTCGGCGGGCTTCAGCGGGTCGGCTGCAAGAGAGGAGAGGAGAGGAGGAGGGGGTAAACGTCGTGTGTGGCTGCCCATCGGCTTGCCCAAGAACGAAAGAAAAAGGCCCGAGAAGCGGAAGGGAAGCCTTGTCCAAGCCCACCCCTCCCCGACGCCTCGAAAGGGGGAAAAAAACCGCACCCGGGTGGCGCTGCAGCCTCACCTTCTCGTGGCGTTGCTGTCGGCGCGGCCATCTTCTGGGCCTCACCTTTACTCCGGTTTGAATGGCCGCCTTCACGGAGCATCATGGGAATGTCGCCTATACGTCATTGGAGCGCGGGCCGATTCTCCTGGCGCCATCTTTGTCTCGGGTAAGTTGAGCGCCCTTGCCTGAATGGGCTAGCAAATAATCTCAACCTTGACAATTTTAAGGCATGTGGACTTCAACTCCCAGAATTCCACAGCCAGCAATGCTGGCTGTGGAATTCTGGGAGTTGAAGTCCACATGCCTTAAAATTGTCAAGGTTGAGAAACATAGTAGTAAGCAGTGGTTCTCAACCTTTTTAATGCCGCGACCCCAACTGGTCGTAAGTCGAGGACTAAACCGGTCGTAAGTCGAGAACTTTCCCTGCCCAGGAGCGCCACGCATGCGTGGTTCCGCCCCCTGCGCCGGCCGAGGCATAGCTGGCAAGCGGCAGAGACGGAGCAGGCACCACCAGCTGGCCCAGCCCAAGGGAGGTAAGGCACCCGCCAGAAAAGGGGGAAAAATGGCGGACAAAAAAATGGCGGACAAAAAAAATGGCGGACAGCCTTGCTTGGTGACCCCCGTGAAATGGTTGATCGACCCCAAATGGGGTCCCGACCCACAGGTTGAGAACCACTGAGCTAGAGATTGTATGTTTCTGCGGCTTTTTCTGAAATGGTCATGCTGGCCAGTCTCGCTTGCCAGGCCTGTCTTGTCTGACTTTATGGTGTGATTAAAATATAGATGCTACACGGGTCACCTTAGGTTAAGGGCAGCTATTTGCATGATCCTTAGAAGAACTGCCTTGATTATCCCAGCCCCCAAACGAACTTTTAAACTTTGCCTGTGGCCCGAGGCTCAAAAGCGGAACTTAGTCGCAGAAACGAGTTTTCCTTCATTGCTAAGTTTAGACTTCAAATATTTGCCGAAAGTAAGATGACCTGACTTTCCTCTCTTCCGGGAAAATACAAAAAACGAATTTGCCTCCGTTACAAGTCCCCACTTAACTTAAATCTTCCCATTTTATCTTGCCCAAATGAAAGTTAATAATCGTAGATAAATGCAGGACCTCCTGGTTTAACTCTTAATAGCTACTTGTGACCATTGTGATAAATATTTTGAGAGATATACCGTTATTCATTACTTTAAAATATATTGGGATAGGAGAATCTTGGAATATCTTTCCCATCACTTCATTGTGATAACAAATTTCAGCAAGTTCTGGTGGGGAAATTAAAAAAAACATTGTGCATTTTTAAAATGATAGTGTGATTGCGACTGAAAACCCAGGTGACAGTTGAACTTGAATTGCCCTGTCAATCTAAATAATGCTTTCAGTATTTCTACTTCATTTTCATAATAAATTAATCATGCAGTGTTTGTATATAGTCAGCTGAATCTGATGCAATATGTTTCCTACACGGGGCAATTCATTCCAACTGATGCAACATGTTGCCAAGACCTAACAGCAATCTCGTATTGAGGATGTTACAAGAGGCTGTGATTGTATTTGTAAATAAAATACCCCACTAATTTGAAGTGGGAGAAGCATCTGTTCTGACTACATGAAAGAATCTATAGTTTGGCTGCTTTTATAATTAACTTATGCCTAGGCTAAAACATAGGTGCTTTGTTTTGTTTAAACTGGGGAATTAAATCTGTGAACTTAATTAATCTTATTAGTTTGTGACTGAAATGACATATCACTGTACACAATATTAAAAAAATATGCTGTTGTACTACTTATAATGTATTACTGCTAGCTATCAAGGCAATTACAACATTATATGGCACAGTCATATAATTGAAAACAGAATATAAAATGAAAAACATTATTCCACTGGAAATTGTATTAGAAAAATTAAGGGTTTTTCCCTCCTGCTATTTAAATTTTGTGAAATTATGTTTCTGTTGAAAGTCTGCTTTTGTGATGGTCGAAGATATGATAGTAAGAATCAGTTTAACAAGTAAAATTATAGATAAAACTGTAGCCATTTGAAATGTGTGATAACTGACCCTCTTTAACAATTCAACATATGTATTTGATATAAATTGTGAAATTACAGGTGAGTGTGTGTCTATAATTTAAAACGTGATAAAATTTTATTCTCATCTCTTATGTAAATTAGTATTTTTTTAAAAATAACTTGAATTCAGTGTTAGAATTCAAATGCAGAAAGCAAATATTATGCCCCTAACGTTTTATCTTGCATTTTGCAATACCAAATTTTGTTGTAATGTAAATTGTGACCCAATTCTGTCTGAAAAATGGCTGTATCAGTATACTAAATCACACTTTTCTTAGGACTCCAAAGCTTGAAGGATGTCTTAGGATGATGCTCCTGCGGTAATAAAGCTGAAGCAGACGGAAGTATTTTATTGGGGTATTTTTGTTCGAGGCGCTACACACAAAAAAAATCCTAAATTGATTTAATCGCCCCAGAGGTTGCTTGATGTTGTAATCCTGCGTTCTGTTCAGAGAAATTATTGGAAGCCAAAAAAAATAAATAAAAAAATAGGAGTCTGACAGCCCGAAAGCGTATGCATTTTATGCAATTTGCAACGTTACCAGGCTCCCCGTTGTTTTGCCGACACTAATTCGGCTCGCCTCCTGCAAAGAGAGGGCTCTCGCACCCCTCTTATTCGCCCCTGTAGTTGTCCGAAAAGCGCTGCCTTCCGCGGGAAAGAGGCCGCTGGAAGTTGTAGTCCAATTGTGTTGCCGCTGGGGCACTGTTTCCCGTGGTGCCCCGCGCTTCTTTCTGACGCCAAGCGCCAGAGTGGAGGGTAGCCGTCAAAAGCCCAGTCCCGGGCTGAGAGGCGTCCGCAGCGGCGGAGGTCCTGCCGGCTGGCCCAAGATGGACTCGCGGGTGTCCGAGCTGTTTGGGGGGTGCTGCCGGCCCGTGGGGGGAGGGAACGGGGGTGCCCTGCGAGGCCGCGGCGGCGGCGGCGGCGGTTCTTCCAAGGGGAGGAAGAAGAACGGGAGATACCGAGGTGGCAAGGCCAACAACCCCCCCTACCTTCCTCCGGAGGTGAGCGGGAGACCCTGCGGAGCCCGAAGTCGGGGCGGCGGGAGCATTTTCGGGCACGAAGCGGCGGGTGTGCTAAGTCTTCCAAGATTCCGCCTAGGACGAAGATGCTGATAGTTGGAAGTCAATGGGACTGTAGCTCCCGGCGTTAAGGGGATTGCTGGAAAAAAAAGTAAAGAGCTTATTTGTGTTTTAGGGCAGGAGTTCTCAACCTTGGCCACTTTAAGACTTGTGGACTTCAATTCCCAGAATTCCTCAGCCAGCTTTGCTGGCTGAGGAATTCTGGGAATTGAAGTCCACAAGTCTTAAAGTGGCCAAGGTTGAGAACCCCTGGGATTTAGGGGAAGAACCGATGTGTATCCCAAGAGAGCAGCCTCTTTGGGGGGGGGGGGAAGCGCTCTTGTAGTTAAAAGTACCGCTGAGTTTCGTTTCTGCCTTCCTCGTCACACACCCTCTCCGATGCCATTCGGCTTCCTTTTGACTGGTGTGGCTAAGAACTCTTCCCTCTTGACAGCTCTGCCGCCCAACTCGCGCTAGTAAATATCGCGGCCACTCTGAGCTTGGCTTCGATTTGAGGGAGAATCGTACTTTTGGGGGCCGAGATTTTGAACAGAGGAGGCAAAAGGGATTCGGTTTTTGTTTCCCCGGAAAGTCGCTTTGCCGATTCAACTAAAATTGCATTTAAATTTCTGCATTTGTGCTCGTTTCTTTGATATGTAGCCAGCCAATCAAACGTGGAAGCAACGAAGAAGCTTCTAAATTGAAGCTTAGGTTCTAGGATAATTTCAGTTGAAGATTACTGGCATATATATATATATATTTGTAAATCTTTGACTCTGAACAGTGAGCTCTTTACCGCATAGGGAGATAGCAAGGACTAGTTCCTTATCCTAATTTTCTAGCCCGCCCTCACCTTCAAAAGCAACCCTCTGTTAATGGTAAAGACTGGTGTAGCTGATATTAAACTACATGTTTTCAACAGACTGATTCGCTAGGAAACAATACATAAACATCTCAATATAACTAGAGACTATAATAAATTTATGGTAGCCCGTATGGAGATGATTTTCTGAATTTGTTTATAAAGGACATGCATAGGAATGTGTAGAAAAGTCATAAGTGTTGTGGTTCCCTGCAATCTAAGATTGTATGATACAGACAAATTTTAAGATCTCAGAATATGTTTCCAAGTGAGATAAAAAGTGCTGGTATTACTTCTTTCATTGAGATAATTTGCAATTATTTACCTATTGTTTTCCTTGACTCGTTTGGGGGCAAATTGGGACGATCAAATTGAACAGACGACTCTTTCCCAGGTTTTAAAGATCTTGAAACATATTCTGAACAGGGTCTTAAATGAGGATGCTTTTAATTTTTAAATTTAAGTAGCCTTTTAAAAAAAAAAATACTGTAAAAATTTGGCACACTTTGGTAGTTGGCCATATAAAAAGTCAAATTAGCAAACTTGGCATTAGTATAGGAAAGTAAAAAATGGAATTTAATGAAATCACAAACTCAATATAATCCTAGGCCCATCCTGCTAAGCCTACTTTTTGTTATTTATATAAAGTTTATGTGGATGTGAATGTGCAGTGTGATTTCATTTTTTATTCCTGTTTCTCTTGGTGATTTGCCAGTAATTATATCAGTTTTTTACTTTCTATGTGATCTAAGACATGAAAATAACTACTTTTATTCACATTTTTGCTTCATATTTTACAACACTTCCAGTACAAGATAAGAATTGTTCTTTACACTGTCCCTAAATTTTCAGTGTTGCAGTACTATTTTTCTGTCCTCAGTTAACAGCATGAAGTATTGCTGGGGCATGCCCAAACCTGTTTCTCCTTCCTCACTTCCACAGCAACCCAGTGGATAATTAGTGCTCCTTCAAAACTGCTAATGTGTATTGTAGGCATAATTTCTTCCATGAATTTGGATGTGTCTGTGTTTATATACATTGCACAACAATGCCATATTAATAAACTTGCTATGTAAATAAATTATGTATTTAGTCTAATCTCCAAAGTGGGAACGTCTAATTGCAGAATATTCTTTGCTAAGTATTTCCCATTACCAGCCCTTTTACACCATAGTTAGACTGAGCTTGAAAACAGCAGTTCTTTCCATGTAAAGAAGGAAAGTTTGCTAGAGAGAGAATGATGCTGGATCTAAAATGGTTAATTATTTTAGGAAAAAATTAAACTAGAGTAGATACATTTTATGTTATTGTTGATCTGATTTATAATGGTTCCCTTTAAATTCCTAAGTATTAAAAGCTCCCTCCTGATTCAAGACCAGCAGGATATGAATCAATGTCCCATACCTGTTTTTAGAGAAAGACTATAGTCTTTCTTACTATGAGTTTTATGAATAATCTTAAGTGCTCACTATTACAACCACATAGAAATAGCTTCTGGAAAAATATCGGCATAACTTGTTAAGGAAGTTCAGAGGAACTATTGTTCCGTAGATCTGCCATGACATAGTACACATTGACTATTACTTTCTCACTTAACATTACGTTCAGGTCATAAGGAACATTAGTTATTTGCTAGAGTTGTTTGACAATGTATAGCAGAACACCTTTGGGGCAGGGCCAAATAAAGTATGTTAGTGCAAAAATGTGATTGTTGATCAACAGAGTGTAGAATTGTTCATCTCTCCAATTTTCCTGTTTATGATATTCTTCAGTAATATTTAATAAAACATCAATTACCAATCCAGACTTTTTAGTGACACGTGTTAATCTGTGTTTAAAGCCTGAAACAAATTAGTTCTATTTATTTAGTTGCCCATCTGAAATGCATGAACTCAGGGTGGCTTACAACAATTAAAAGCAATACAAAAAGCAAAAAAATACAGTATTAAGATATATAAAAACTTACAGGACCATATAAAAAAATAAATAACATAATCCACAGACAAGATATAAAAACCAATATTCAACAAAACCAATGTACAAGCTGTACTGCATGCCAATTATGGTATTTATTTCCAAAGAAAATGTCTAGTGAATGATGTCAGAACAGGAAACCAAAAGATATTTGAAAATTGAACCTTTGGAAGAGATTCATGAAGACAGAGTGAGAATCAGGAGTCTATTTAAAACTTGCCTATCATTCATTTATGAGATAATGATTTCTGAAGCTTTCTGCATGGTTTGATTTATTACAGTTGAAACATTTTATTAAGATCCTTATTGAATTTTTGTGGCATTTATGTTAGTCCATAAATTGCTTTAGGTGCAGGTAAAACAAATGGTACTTTGAACTGTACTGAATGATACATAATAATTTTCATGCCTGGGAGTGGCTAAGGGGAATTATATGGAGAAATTGAAAAAGTGATATTATTCTGGATATCAAAGAATAGTTTTCAGTAATGTATGATTTATATGTTTTTGAAAAAGTATTTTCTAATAATCAAAGGATGCAATATGTGATACTATGGCAGAGATTTTGTGATGTCTTTGAATAATATTTTGTATTGGTCATATAGTAATGAATTCAATAGTAAACCAGTAACAATGGATATGTATAAAATGTAAATATCTTCTTATAGATTTTATATTTTTCTTTTCTTAGTTTGTATTTTGTATTTTTGTATTTTTTTAAGATTAAAGATTATTTTGTTAATTATGTTTGAATTGAATAAATAAATTCAATGCAACTTCATCATTTGTATAAAGATGAAAGAACCATAGTGTTAAGTGACTTGATTTAACTACTATAATTTAAACTGGCTTTGTCATTAGTCTCTGGCAACTATATTTAGTTGTCAAAAGAGATGTCTGGTTTTGTATATGAAATTTTGAACACTGCATTAGCCATTAATTTAAGATCTCTTCTTCTTGTATGTAGGCAGAAGATGGGAACATAGAATACAAGGTGAGTCTCTCATGCCAGCCATTTAAGAGTTCTAAGCCAAATAATTCTGTAAGTTCCATGTCGAGGAACAGAGAGAAAGATAAATAACAGAAAAATAAAAATGATTTTTGCCAAAACATTATTTATAGATATGTTGGCTATTTCACATTTGAATACTGAACCCTGTATACATTCTTAAATGTATACAAAAAGGAACTTTTTATTCAATTATTTTAGAGTGCCTTTGAAAAATTATTAGTCTTCTTCTCCACTGAACTGTCTTTGTTCAATTTCATGGAGCCTAACAAATGTTAGAATATTGTGGAGAAAATACTGAAAAAAATGTTCAGCCCCATCAGACCACCTTAATTGCTGATTATAATTACTTCTTTCTTTGGACAGCTGAAGTTAGTTAATCCATCTCAATACCGCTTTGAACATCTAGTAACGCAAATGAAGTGGCGACTACAAGAAGGCCGTGGTGAGGCTGTGTACCAGATTGGTGTCGAGGACAACGGGCTGCTTGTTGGACTGTCTGAAGAAGAAATGCACGCCTCTCTTAAAACGCTACGGCGGATGGCCGAGAAGTATGTGCATCTGTCCTGCTTCTTGGCCAGAGTTAGCCAATGGTGTGCTCTGTTATTTTGCTCTTCTTAGGTAGACTTAATGTTGGAAATTCAGCCGATAGCCAACAGAGGAAATGGTTTCAGCAAGAGATTTTTCTCACAGTACCACCACATGGGTACAGTACCTACTAATTGTTTAAGTTGTAAAAAGTTTGTGTGTGGCTATGCGTATTTTATTATGGGCCATTACACTCAACTGGGATTGGGCAACCTTTTGATGGGCAAAGGCCATAATAAGTCATATTTGGGAGGAGGGAAAGGGTCAGAGGTGGGATTCAAATATGTGAACAACCGGTTCTCTGTGTGGATGCCGCTTCCGGAAGTCCGTCCTGGGCCTGGGCAACAAAAAATTAGCTACCGGTTCTGCCAAATTGGTGTGAACTGGCTGAATCCCACCATTGGGAGGGGTGCTGTAAATGAACAGGGTCACTATAGATATATAGGCAGGGTAGAGTTTGGCAATTTCTTGACATTATCTATTGTAGGCAACTGTCTCTGTAGTTTTCATGAGTTTGTCCTCTCAAGGTGGCAGGAAGTCATGTTATCAACAATCATGACCATGTGCTGAGTGTCAAAAAGGGAGGGTTAGGGCTGGAGTGTGCTCATTCATTCATTTGGCAGTGGATACTTGCTCATGTTGGAAAGAGATCCATTCCTGACATGTTTCTAGTGAATACAGAAATACAATTAGCATTTACCTTAATTAGATTTAGTACTAATGAGAGCTATGTAGCTTTACTATAGCTGTCATTCCCCCCCCCCCCAGCGTCAGCCTCATTTAGGTAAAGTTTTATCTCTCTGTCCTGCTATGGGCAACATGTAATTAGTGGGAAATTTGTCATATGTGGTGATCTAGATAAAGCCAATTTATTACAGATCTTAAAATAAGGAAACTCATTTGACATCTATGCAAAAATATTTCAGGGGAGTGGAGCCTCCCAAAATTGACAAGGATGCACATTCATATGGATAAAAATCAGCTCATTTGGAAAATAGACACATTTTACTTACCATTGCTTAATTGTGAGATGCTTTTCTGAGCAGCATTATAAGATAACTAGATATTTGTCCTCCTGAGGAATGCTTTGCGGATGTTTCTCTAACCCCCAACAGTGTTCTGTTTTGCCCTTTGCAGAGTGGGAGCTGACATCACTGTGCTTCGAGAACGAGAAGTGGATTATGACAGTGACATTCCCAGGAAGATAACAGAGGTTCTTGTCCGAAAGGTCCCAGATAACCAACAGGTAAAAATCAACCTGATTTAAACATCATGAGAGAAAAGCTGAAGATATTTTATTCTAGATTGCTATATTCATCTAGAGCAGGGGTAGTCAACCTTGGCTCTTTTATGACTCGTGGACTTCGATTCCCAGAATTCCTGAGCCAGCTAAGCTGGCTCAGGAATTCTGGCAATTGAAGTCCACGAGTCATAAAAGAGCCAAGGTTGACTATCCTGATCTAGAGTTTGAAGATCTGTAATTGATAAGAATGATTTGCTAGAGATAGTTAAACTTTGAAACCAGTTTCTTATCTTGTGCATATTTTATAATGCAAAGTAGTAAATTCCACATGCTTGGGAATTAGTTTGTTGTTGTAAATACCTCAGAATTATACAAACTTTGTTTGTGAATTGGGTATCCTAAGGCATTAATATGCAAAGTAGTCAAGCCTAACTTGTTCATCTTTTTAACAATTTAAAATAGATCCTCAATTTTCCTTAAGTTTCTAGATCTGCGGGTGGCTGTGCTCGGAAATGTGGATTCAGGCAAATCAACTTTATTAGGTGTCTTGACACAAGGGGAACTGGATAATGGCCGAGGCCGAGCGCGTCTCAATCTCTTCCGGCACTTGCATGAGATCCAGTCAGGAAGAACATCTAGCATTAGCTTTGAAATTCTTGGTTTCAACAGTAAGGGAGAGGTACGAATATTTGTACGTTGAGTTTATCATTTTATACCTATGGATATGAATTTTTACTTGGCCTTTTATAAGAGCTCAATTTCCTGCATTTTCTGCCTCTTAGGTGGTGAACTATAGTGATTCACGGACAGCTGAAGAAATCTGTGAGAGCTCTTCCAAAATGATTACCTTCATTGACTTAGCTGGCCATCACAAATATTTAAAAACCACCATTTTTGGGCTTACAAGCTATTGTCCAGATTTCGCAATGCTGGTGGTGAGTGCCAATACTGGAATTGGTAAGTGGTTGGTTGGATTTCTCCTTGGGGTTTCAGAAGGTTGACATAATGCATATAAGAGTTAACCAGTCGGTACCAGTAGTTTAAAACAAGATTCATCCACAGTAACATAGAAACACTTTGTTAGTTTCAAACAAATGGCATTGAATTATATGTTTTAGCTGCATTGATGTCCTACCTTTTGATTTTCTCTATCTTCTACTTCTTACAGCTGGTACAACACGGGAGCATCTAGGCTTGGCGATGGCCCTTAAGGTGCCTTTCTTCATTGTCATTAGCAAAGTGGACTTGTGCTCAAAGGCCACTGTGGAGCGAACAGTGAAACAACTGGAGCGGATTCTGAAGCAGCCTGGCTGCAACAAACTTCCATTGCTAGTAACGTCTGATGATGATGCAGTTACAGCAGCGCAGCAGTTTGCACAATCTCCCAAGTATGAATCATGGGCTGTTTGAATGGGAGGGCAGATGACTAGCAAGTATGGATGCAGTTTAAAAGTAACATACTTTCAAAATGATGCATTTAGCAAGAAAGGTGTGAGTAACTCAGGTTGGTGGAACTAGCAGTGGTCCATATCAAAGAGCAATAAGCGAAGTTTAAGTGACCATATTCTTTTGTTTCATGTCTCCACTCTCTGTTTTGAATGGGCTGTTTTGATTTTATAGTATTTACTGTTTGTGATAATTTTTATATTGCAGGATAGCTTACACATAATAAATGAATTGTGGCAGAAGTGACTTAGGGAACTGGAGGAGAGCAGATGATGAAATGGGTGTTCTGCCATTGTGATGCAAGCTCCACCCCCTTTATATTGTGATATTGCACCCAAGTGTGAAAGAAAAGGAGCTTCTGTCACGTAGACTCTAGACCTGTTTCATTGTTTTGGGGAAAACATTGGATTCTTCGGATGCCTTTAATCATCTGCACTGCTTTGCATATTTAGGTTTGGAAAGTTATGGGCATACAGGTAGTCCTCGACTTAATGATCACAACCGAGCCTGGAATTTTGGTCTTAAGTCGTTGCGGTCATAAGTTCAGTCACTACCTGACATTTTTATGATGGTTGTTAAGTGAGTTACGTGGTCATAAGTCTGAATCCAGCTTATCCAATGGGTAGGTTTGCTGGAGAATGCTAAAAAAGATTGTAAAATGCAGGATCCTTCAGTCAGTCAAAAATGCAGACCAGTTGCCAAACACCTGAAATGTGAGCATGTGATGGCAGGGGTGGTATTGCTGTTATAACTTTGAGGACAGATACTGAGGACAGGACTTTTTTGAAGTCCATCTTAACTGGTCATTAAGTGACCAGTTGTAAGTTAAGGACTACCTGTACCAAGTTTTGATCCTGTAAAAAAATTATAGGATACAGATATTGTTGTTCCCTAATTATTTACATTCCACTTACACATGTGGAAGCCAATCTCATTCCTATTGTATTCAGTACTAATAGTGATGCACAGCATCGTGGATCACCAGCTTCTTTCACTCATTTGTTTGCAGTATCACTCCCATCTTCACCTTGTCCAGTGTTTCTGGAGAGAACCTGGATCTCCTGAGAGTATTTCTCAATATCCTTCCTCCTCTGACAAACAGCAAAGAACAGGAAGAGCTGATGCAACAGCTCACTGAATTCCAGGTACACAATAGTCTCTTCTCAGTTGAGAGTCTCCAGCTGTAGTATGTGAAGGCAGGGCATTCTCTGATCCTTGGATTTAGAGAAAGGATAAAACCAAACAATTATAATTACTTTCTTATTCAAAGACAAATTAATGCTATTTATTATTTAGCAATAGCAATAGCGTTTAGACCAGGCATGTCAAACTCGTGACGTCGCGCAACGTATCGGGCCGGTTTTGCCATTGCCGGCAATGGGGTGGGCACGGCTTCCACGTGACGCGTCCGGCCTACGGGCCGGCAATTTGACACCCCTGGTTTAGACTTATATACTGCTTCATAGTGCTTTACAGCACACTCTCAGAGGTTTACAATGTCAGCATATTGCCCCCAACAATCTGAGTCCTCATTTTACCTACTTTAGAAGGATGAAAGGCTGAGCTGGTAAGGATCGAACTCCTGGCACTGAGCAGAGTCGACCTGCAATACTGCATTCTAACTACTGTGCCACCACGGCTCCTCCTCCTTTATTTGTCTATACCATTCTTCATCTAATCTCATTGTTAATGTCCTACCAATCATTGAATTGATTCCCAGGTTATTTCTTTTATGAGTTGCACCTAGGAAATGTTTGCAGAATATAATTGGTTCACTGAGAACTGGGATGCTTGAGGCTTGTAACTGGTATAAGGAAGACAACATTAAAGGATAGGCTTAGAATTCCTATACAAGAACTTGTATTGTTATGTCTGAGAATAAAAGGTCAAACTATTTAACTCTGGCTTTGAAATGCTATAGTCCAGCACAACATATTTGAAACTTCCATTCTTTCTCTGCTATAGGTGGATGAAATTTACACTGTGCCAGATGTAGGCACAGTTGTTGGAGGAACACTGTCAAGGTTGGTACATATGGATTTTGTAAGGAAAAACCAGGATGGGTAGGAAGGACCAGGAAGTAGCATTTATTCTCCTTTTCTTTCTTTCTTAACTGAATGAGTCGAAGATAAAATTGCACTCCAGTAAAAAAGTAAAAGTATTCCCTAAAGGATTCCTGTGTTCTTTGAACACATATCATGTATATTTATTCTCTGGAATATCAGATCCAAATTTTCTCTTTGATATTTTTCTTGTTTCAAGAGTAAAAAAACTGCTTCAAGATTATCTCAATTAGACACAAAGGAAGGCTTTTCCTGCCTCCTGGGAGCTAAATACAATATTTTCATTTTATGTCCTTGCTAGTGGGATATGCAAAGAAGGAGAGAATTTGGTTGTTGGTCCAACAGATGATGGCAAGTTCCTTCATCTGAAAGTATGCAGTATTCAACGAAATCGTTCAGCATGTCGCGTTCTTCGAGCTGGGCAGGCTGCTACCCTAGCTCTTGGACTCTTTGATCGCTCACTGCTGCGCAAAGTAAGCTCTTTCTTAATCTCTCTCTGGAGTCTTTAGTTGTAAAAACCTTCTCCTCTGTATCTTTTCTGAAAACAAAGTGTCCTGCCTTATGGATATTGGGAAATATAGCGGGCTGGACCGTCTGCTTTTGAAGATATTCCAAAACTCTATAGATAATAAACTCTTCTTAGTTTGTGCCATAAAAATTTAAGTTCAAGGGATGGGAAAACTGGAAACTATAGCATTAAGGTGATTGCCTTGAGTTTCAAAAGAACAAAGAAATAATTAGATTGAACGCTAAGCAGGATCCGTTAGCTGTTAGATCTTTCCCACTCATCCCTGCCCATCATCTTGTATACACATTCTTATCTCCCCCTTCTTTCTTTGGCTTTCGGAGCAATAAATGAGGATTTCTTTATGGAAAGATTGTAATCTGTTGTGCTTCAGTTTGGAAGAGTTGAGTACCATTGTCAAGAAAATTCAGTTACCCAATCTTGCTGTCATTTAGGGCATGGTGATGGTCAGCCCAGAGATGAACCCAACTATTTGTTCAGTATTTGAAGCCGAAATTGTTCTACTGTTCCATGCCACAACTTTCCGGAAAGGATTCCAAGTAACAGCACATGTTGGAAATGTACGGCAAACAGCAATTGTGGAAAAAATCCACGGGAAGGTAAGTTTTCCTTTTCTTGCTGAAAGGGAATTTGCTTGATTTGTCTTCTCACTTGTGTCACAATCACTTTAGGCCTTACCCTTGAGGTACTTCTTGCTGAACTAGAAACCAGGAAATCCTGAGTTCTAACCCTTCCTTAGGTATGAAAACTGATTTTGGATCAGTCACTTTCTCTCAGTGCAACCACCCTATGGAGTGGCTATTTTGTGGAAAATGTAAGTTGGGAGCAGTAGATATGCAACCTTTGAGTATTACAAAATAAAGGGGGTTTCTTCTTGTTACTATCAAAAGGGATTTTTTTCACAGCTAAATCCACTGCAAATTTCAGAAACCCGAGGGTATGCTAAGTTGCTTTCCATGGGTTTTCTGGAATCCCTAAGATAAGTAATTGAACTTTTAAAATTCTAACATACTTTCCTTTTTGTTCAGGACAAATTGCGAACAGGAGAAAAGGCAGTGGTTCGTTTCAGATTCATTAAGCATCCTGAATATTTGAAGATAGGAGCCAAACTATTGTTTCGTGAAGGAGTTACCAAAGGTATTGGACATGTCACATCCATCCAGGCTATCACCACTGGAGAAAGTGGCCTGGAACACAATCTGTGTCCTGATCCAGTCAGCTTCTGACTCGCACCAGCATTTCTCAGTGCTCCAAATAAGGGAAAGATTTCGTGCCAATGTGCAGAGCCATTGTTGGCTAATCAATTTACATAGGCACATCTTCTCTGCACTACAGAAGCCAGAGTGACCTCTTGGACTGAGTGCCCTTCCTGGAGCAAGTTAAGCTTGTTGTTTGTGCATCACCTGCTACTTCCATATTCCTGCTTTTCCTGGAATAGACAAGCAAACAGCTGCATTTTTGACTAGGTTGGAACTCCTGCTTTTGTTGACCGTTGTGGGGAAGTTATTTCCAGAGAGAGGCAAATCCATAGTCTGTTGGACTGTAATTTTGGGATGCTGCCGCCTGGGAGACAACAATGATGGACTCGTTTGTATTCAGAAGGGTATTAGTGTCGTCCTAGTGCCTGGTTTTGCAGGCTTTCTATGGCAGATGGATTATTATTATTAGGAACTAGAGCCCACAGTACGGTTCAGGATGTTTCTAATTATTTTAAATTATTGTTGGTTTCACATTAATCCAGTAATGAATAGCCTCTCTTCTCCCTCCACCTTTGTGTGCAAATCTTTACCAGCCTAAAAAAGGGAGGAGGGAATATGGGAGGAAGAAATCCCTCTAATGCAGGGGTAGGTAACAATTTCATGACCAGGGCCATGAAGTGTTGTTGTTTTTTAAATGGACACTCCTACAGCTGCAGAATCCATAGCAGGTGATGCAGTGACATTGCCAGGGTAGATGGGTTGAAATGTTCTGCCTAAACTTGGGATGGGGGGTGGAGGCTTTTATGTAAATGGATATATATAATTTCTATGAGGCCTTATGCAGCAATACTCATCCCAATTTTTTTTTTTAAAAAAACATGTCACTGAAAATCAGTGGCTCTGCTACCAAATTTCACCAGCGTGAGCTAGGGATGCATTGGAAAGCTACATGTGGGACACATGCTGCCCATCCTCTGCTCTAAAATAGCCCCGATATGATATGACAGCTCAGCTCTTGATGCTGTCAGATTTCCCTGCCACTTTGTTAGCCATTTGTTCCTCAGCAGGTGCCCTGTCTAAGCAACTTCTTAGAGCAAGGTGCCCCACTGGTACCATCAGACCCTATGTTGCTTGCTTCTCGAAGTGAGTTGTGGCTGGCAAATTTGATTGCTGTATCTTTCAATGTCCTTGACTTTTCTGAGATATGGAAATCCGGGTCCAACCTATTTCTTGGGGCAAGAGTCTTTATTTCCAATGGTCATACCCAGGGGTAGTCAACCTTGGCTCTTTTATGACTCGTGGACTTCAATTCCCAGAATTCATGAGCCAGCTTAGCTGGCTCAGATATTCTGGGAGTTGAAGTCCACGAGTCATAAAAGAGCCAAGGTTGCCTACCCCTGGTCATACCAGTAAAGGCTGTTCTAGTTGTCGCAATATTGGGAATGCTACTGCAATTCTAATTCTCTTATTCAGCTTTGCCATCTGGTATAATTTGTATTATAGTATCTTTGGCAGAAAATCACCTTTATACCTAAGATTAATAAATCTATGACAGATTGAAAGTACAGCTGAATTTCTGAATTGGCCATCCGACAGAATGGTCTCAGACACTGAAAGATATCTTCCCTTTTTATTATTAAGATTTTTAAAGTTTGTGATGTTATTTTTATTGTACGTTTTAACCACTGTTACATCAAAGACTCGAATAAACGAGCTAACATGGCCAGTAAAACATACGACTTTTTTATCCTTCCACGTTGACTCCCCATTCTGCCGTTTCATCTCTGTTGTACAGAGATTAGATTATTCAGAGCAACGGCTCCTGGGATATATAGCATGTTACTATTAAGTTTGCATATACAGAAAGATTTTTTTATTTAATATAGCCTTTTAAGAAAAGCCTTTACTCATCTCCCTGGATAAAAGAAAATCCTCCCCAAAGTCCAATAAACAGTTGCTAAGTATCATGGCTATTTGTTGACAAGCAGTTTTTTTCTTTTGAAGTTCCCCTTAATTACACACAAACATGTTGAAAAACTGGCTTTCTAGATATCTTCTGAGAGACTTTGTCCTGTGGTAGGAATATATGCTTTCTCTGCAGTTTACAGTGATGGTTAAGTTGACCCATTGCAAATGTAAACATTCAAGGTGCTTTTTCTACCCTCAGGTCCAGGCGTTTTCTGGTCTCCTCTTTCCCTTGCCTTTATTATGTGTGTTCTCAGTGCCAAGCCTTTCATATTCACTGTTTGTGATTTCTTAAAAGGAGAGGTATGTTTTCATCTCTCTGTATGATGCACAAAATAAAGATGCTTTATTGAGAAAACAAAGCTGTGGTTTGTTCTAAATGAACTGTGTAATTTGCTCTGTCCCTTAATAGTTTTAGCTCTGAAAAAAAAAAGCGTTCTTATCCTGCCCTGACTTTGTTAGTTTCAGATGTTTGTACAGTCATGTTTGCAAGCTAGTATATGCTTATCTGGCATTACCAAATACAGTATTGTGCTAAGCATTTTATATTGACAGTTTGGGATATAGATTCAATGCCCTGAATAAATAGTACACTATATTTAGTGATGCTTGAGGTCACTTACAAAAGCAAAAATTCTTTGACTAATAAAGTTCAAGACCAGTTTATAAATACTGGACTAGTATATCATTAATCATATATCTTGTTTCTTTATTCTAATAACTGACACTTCTAATTGTGAGATGAATTTTTATTTAACCCGTTTGTTGTGTAACATCAGCTACACTGGGTTAGTTCCTGTTATTCTTAATTACAACAGAATGAAGCAGAATTACAAAGCAGTCGATAATTCCTATTAAAAAAACTTCACTTACAATACACACACACACACAGACTCTGGGTGGCTCACAATAACTAAAACAAGAAAAATATAATAACCAATACAAAAATTTAAAAAAAAACAGACAAATGCCTTCACTCTCGCTGGCCAAAGTCCTGAGCAAAGAGCCAGGTCTTCTAGCCCTTTTAAACAACAGCCTGGATCTCAAGGTGGAGGAGATCCCATTCCAGAAAACGGGTATTGCTACAGAGACAGTAAGTTTCTGGGATCCCGATATTAATGTTAATCAAAGGGAACTGGATGTGCCATTGCTATAGTTTCAAATCAGCTAGATAGATGTTATGGGAGTCGGGTGGTCCTCAAGTAACCAGGCTTTATGCTATGTAAGCTTTATAAATAACAGAAATCTGAATTGTTTCTGGAAGCAAATTGGCAACCAGTGCAGCTTTTTAAGCACAGGTGATACATGGGCATATTAAGGTATGCCTGCCAATGTCTGTGTCATTGCATTCTGGAGTACTTCCAGCTGATTTTCAAAGGCAGCCCCATGTAGACTCCATGGCAGTAGCTGAACCATGAGGTAACAAGTGCATACGTGACTGTTTTAACAGCCTACCGGTTACTAAGGGCCCAGCTGGCACCTCAGATGAAATTGTGCTGTGACTTTCAGGACCACAGCTGCCACCTGCTCTCCAAGTAGGGGTTGTGATTCAGGAACACCCCCCCCCAAGACTGCACAACCCTTGAGTCAGGAAGTGCAACTATATAAGGTCAAAGATGGAATACTCCCAAATCTGGAGAACCCAAATGCTCACAGCCACTCAGTTTTCATAGGATTGAGTCAAGATGGTTTCTCTCCAAACCTACACAATCTCCAAGACAGAACCTCTATAGGGTCACTTGACCAGCCAGGTTCAAAAGACATAATCTGGTATCATTAGTATACTGTTGATACCAAACCCCAAGCTAGCAGACAACTTCACCCAGCAGTTTCATATAAATGTTAAAAGGGAAGGGAAGAGATAGAAGAACCCTGAAGAACCCCACACAGGAGGGTTTTGGGAGCAATCTTCCCCGCACAACCATACCAACAAACTAGACTTAGAGGAAGGAGAACCACTAAAAAAAATATGCCTCCAACCCCTAGCCCATGGAGCCAGCTCAGGACATAGCTGACAGCATGGTATGGAAAGCCACCAAGAGATTTCAGGGGCACAAGGATGGATCACCTCCATCCCAGCTTGGCCAGATGATCAAAAAGTGTAATTAAGGTTGTCCTGGCAAATAAGAGTGGCATCATCATCATCATCTCCCTAACGTTATTCCCATAATTGCAGGTTCCGTTTTTGGGATCAATGAACGTCATCTTGGAAACAGACTGAAATGGGTATAAACAATCCACTTCTTCCAGGGTTCTTTTGAGCTGCAAACCAACTATGGAAGATTGGAAACTAGTCAATGGTTGTTAAAGACCATTGGGTACAAGGATGATCTCTTGAAAATATTTTCTACATTTACATCCAATCATATATAACTTAATTTTGTTTTCCAACATCATGCGAACAGTGCTAAAGATTTCCATTTGTTTTTTTTCTTGGAAATTACACAAAAATGTGTTACTTAAATCTTAGGCTATTTTGATAACTTTATTTTGTTAAACTAATGAACAACAACAAAAAGAAACAAATGCATATTCAACATTAAAAGATCAATATATTCTAAAATTCATAAGCATAGCCATGAGTAATAAAGTAATAAATACACAAAAAGATCAGAAAATTATGTCATAAACAGAATTCAAATAATTTTGAGAATATTGCTTGACATTGTTCTTTGCCCTCTTTTTAAAAAATATTAATTCAAATATAGCAATCCATTTTTGCAAGGCAGGTAAAGATTTCTCCTTACTCTAAATTCATTTAACGAACAACTCTCATGTCCAAAATTTTCACAATTTTTGCTAGGTTCCAAACACTGGAATATGCCAGAGAAGAATATATGTGTATTTAACATAATATGATTAATCCAAAGTTGTAATACAAACAATAGGATAAGAGCAAATCATAAGAGAAAATGCTTCAATCCCTAAATTACATCTCCACCAGCAGGAACACTGTAACCAATCCTCACTAAATTTTATTTGAGGCATCTAGTACTGAGGTCCCCAACCTTTTGGGCATCAGGGACCGGTTCCATGGAGAAAGGTTTTTCCACGGATCAGAGGGCGTGTGATTTTGTGTGCTACCTGCATCCCACAGATGGGACTTTGCTTGTTTGTGCGGCCCGATACCAGTCCATGGACCAGGGGTTGGGGACCCCTGATCTAGCAGAAATAAAGCAAATTTAAATGTACTATATTCATTTTAAGATTATAGGAACTTAATTATATGTTTAATGCAATTCTCCACTGGGTTATAAGGATATTTAACTATGCAATTCCAAAGGTCATGTAAATAATATCAATTTCATCAATTTCCTTCAACTTCTTATAAAGAAGGATAACTGGTTTAGGAGCCACAGATGATTCTTCTAGTTCTTCTGACAACTGCAATGCCTTCAAAACCTGTAACAGATCCAGATCCAAATAAACCAAATAACAAAAACTTGCATACAATGCCAAGAGGTATTCTAAACTGTTATCAAAATAAATTCTGCAAAAGCTATAAATAGCTTCTTCCAAATGATTGGATCCAAAATAATGAGACTATTTATTCAGTAGCAAATTATGATATCCTATTATGCAATCTTTTCATAACTAAAAAGAGTAATTATAGAAGAGAATATGTGTAGCTCAGGGTTGAACTGTGGGGTCCTTGGTGCTTTCTGAGCCTAGTTGTTTTCTTGTAGATTTCATTACCAAACTGTAATGTACCGGTATATAACATGTTAATATATTTGTCTGTCAGTTTGTGGCTAGGCAAAGGTTGATAAAATCCATGGTCCTGCATATTTCTGTCTTGATGTATTTTGTTAGGTCAGATGTGCTGTGTAGTGAGGCTAGAATTCTGGACAATTCTGGGTCTATGGATGTAAAAAGTGCTGTGACATCAAATAAAACCATGATTTCATCTTCATCTATTGTCATATCTTCAATTCTTTGGAGGCACTGCAGATGAGTACTTTTGCTTCCCTTTGTGAAGGGTCCAAGCTTTTTTGTCAATTCTTTGGTGATGTTGTAGGTTGAGGTCCCTGGTAATGATGGAATTGGGTGGAGAGGTATGTCTGGCTTATGTGTTTTGGGGCATCCATAGAAGCATGGGAGGATGGGTCTACTACTTTTTATCTGCCATTGATCTTCTTTGGTGATTTGACCTTTTGTGGTGAGGTAGCTGAGAGTTCTCTTGATCCAGTTATCTAGTTTTTGTATTGGACTGATGTTCGCTGGGATGTAACTTTGTCTTCTATAATTCTTTTGCTTTTTGTCTGTATTGTGATTTGTCCATAACTGTGGTTTGAGGGCTGCTCTATCCTCCAAGTTTTGTTCTCATCGTCTTCTGCTCTGTGGTATGATAGCTTGTCTGATGCTTTTTTGAGTCTCTTTGAGAAATCCTGCGGTTTAAATGCTCGTTCTAATACTGCAAAGAATTCTAGTTGATTAGCATCTTCTATGTTATAGTGTAGGCCAGCGGTTCTCAACCTATGGGTCGCGACCCCATTTGGGGTCAATCGACCATTTCACGGGGGTCGCCAAGCAAGGCTGTCCGCCATTTTTTTCCCCTTTTCCGGTGGGCGCCTTACGTCCCTTGAGCTGGGCCAGCTGGTGGTCGGCCTGCTCCGTCTCTGCCGCTTGCCAGCTACCCCTCGGCTGGTGCAGGGGGCGGAACCACGCATGCACGGCACTCCCGGGCAGGGAAAGTCCTCGACTTACGACCGGTTGGGTAGTCCTCGACTTACGACGGGTTTAGTCCTTGACTTACGACCGGTTGGGGGTCGCGGCATTAAAAAGGTTGAGAACCACTGGCGTAGGCCTTTCTGTAGAATATTGTGTTCTGTGGTAAATAGTGAGCGACTGGACATGTTGACCACACATTTGGACTCTGGTGCCTCTTTGATTCGAGGGTTTCGTTTGAGTAGTTTGGTTGGTAATTTCATTTTCCTTTTTCTGGTGTGTCTCTGGGAAGTAGTCTTGATGGTGGTTGTCAGCCCTTCAATATGCTCTGATGTAATGATGTGTTCTAGTTGTTCCTTGATGTTTTCCATGGTGTGCTGGTATTTGTTTAGTCTGAGATGTGCATCTGTGTTCATGAGCCCTATCATTTTTCGCCCACTTCCTTGTGCTATTTTACATCCAGCTGTGCAGTTTATTAGAAGCTTGTATTTGACACTAGTGGGCAGGGTATGCTGTTGTAGGGCCTTCGTGCAAGAATAGCTTTTCCTTGGTGGAAATGTGCCTGCATGCAAATTTCTTCCAACTGCATGTTTTCTGAGGTGCTTGATACCCATCTGTGGTACCGATAGAACAGAATATTTGTAGCTGAGGGTTGAACTGTGGAGTCTTTGGTACTCTCTGAATTTTCTTGCAGACGTTTCATTACCAGAGTAGGTAATATAATCAGTGCTAGTAGGGACTGGATTTGCTCTGATTTTATATACTAGTAACTTACCCTGTCAGTGTTGATGGGATTGGTCTTAGTGCCCTCTTCATTGGGCTGTTGTTTACTGTTTGGCTTTGAAGAATGGTTTCTTGCAAAAAATAAAGGACATTGGAGTTGGGCAGTTAATAAATTCAAATAAATAAATAAATAAATTTTTTCTCTTGAGATGGTGCATCATGTTGCACACACACACAAAAAATCCTACTTACATTATGGTTTAGCATTTTGGAACCATAAGGCCTATGACTTAGCATAAGATAGTTTCATTTACTAAAAAGAATGCTTGACCTAAAGAGCATTAATAAACCTACTCCCAGAAGAAACACTTTTGTTACTGAGAAAGGCTTAGAACCAAACAAATAAAAATAGAAAACTATATTACAGGCTTTTTACACAACTCTAGAAAAAGAAGCATTCAAATTATATGGAAAAGTTCTTACAAAATAAAAAAACCCACAAGAGATTGAACACTGAGATGTTGTTCTCCAAAGGTTCTGGATTCCCCAATGCTATCAATCCAGCTAGCAGAGCCAGCAGGGAAGAGTGATAGAAGTTGAAATCCACCATCTGGGAAATCTAGATTTTTCTCCTGTCTTAAAATCAAATCCAAAGTTCAGTGCTGTCTAATATCGAGGTTTATGATCTTCACTCCTTGTAATCTTGACTGTAATCTAGATCTTAGAACCGCTACCTGAATACAAGACTTCTGAAATAAGCAAATCTTCTACACGACACAACGTTAGTAAATGAATTCTTACAGAGCTCCATTTTAAAACTAGTCATGGGACAACTACAGAACTATTAGCAGAACACAATCTCATCACCATGCTGTCCACTGTCATCTTGTCCATAAAGTAACAGAAGGACCTGCAGATAGCATACCTTTGATTATAGATTTTTATCCCCATTCATTAACTCCCCAAAATATTAAATTTTAAGGAATAATTTATTAGGATTAGTTGATTAGGAAAAGTACATTTTCTAAGTCACCAGTTACTCAAGTCAGCAACTATGGTGGCAATGGTTTAAAAAAGAAATCTAGAGTCCTACTTCCATCTTGCTTTGGCCGTTTGGCACTGGTGGTTCTCTGCTCCCTTGATTTATTTTTCTCCTTCACTGGAGTAGCAAGAGATTCAACGGATCTGAAGGAACTAGACCCCGAGAAAGAATTCTGCAGTTCTACAGCAAAGTGGTAATCTAAGTGTTCGGTGAACTCCCACACTGCCACTTTTTGGTTACATTTCTCACACAGCAAGCAGTCATCTACTGAGGAAGGATCAGCCAAACACACGGCTCCTTCTTGGGAAAGTCCAGGAGCAGTCTGCACTTTTTCTTCTTTAAACGAATCAGGAAGCATTTTCATTTCTGAAGATGCTACATAACCTTCCCCGGTCAACGTGGTCTCTAGCAAAGATTGCTCTATCAACGGCTGTTTCTGCATCATGTTTGGGTTGCTTAGTTCCATTAAGCCTTCTGAAACTTGGTTGCCGATGTGACAACTCTTGGTCTCCGTAGCTGGTGGTACTATCGTATCACTTACGTCAGGAACAAAACACCCAGCGGTAGCCTGGGCTTGTTTTCTTTTTTCTGCCCTTTGAAAGAGCATTTGAATAGCATTAACTGCCTTCTTGCTGGTCTCCTTTTTGGGACTTCCAAGGAACTTTGCATTCATACCTTCTTTAATGGTGGTGGTGTGCTGAGTACATTGGCTATGATTAGTCAGGAAGGAAGTAATGTCCACAGACAATACTGCAGAAACCTCAGAAAACTTGCTTGTACAGAGCTGAAGAAGTGTAACAGGAGGAGACCTAATGACAGAAGCAAATCATCAAACATTTCAAAATAAAAGCACTCTCAAAACTAAACTGGACTATAATTTTCCAGTAATTTGAATTCACTAAGCACGGAAGAATCTGTCCCAAGATTATTCTTTCCGTTTACTCTTTCTTCTAGGACTTCCTTTCAAGATTTTTCTTTCTTTAGTTCAAAACTAAAGCAAGATGCACAGCTGACTTCTGATAACTAGCATTCCAAATTTTGCTCTGCCCCATTTTTAACACAAACTTTGCTACTCACACTATACCACCAGCTTCTTTGCCAACATCTTGCACAGAATCTTCTAATGTGTTTTGGTTGAAGAGCCAGTATATGTTTGGTAACCCTTATTTTTCAAACAAAAAAGTTCCTACTCATCTCATTCTATTACAGTATATTTCATTTCCTAATCTTACTGCACATGACAAAACTTAAGCAGAAAGGATAGGAACATTTTTCCCCTCCAAAGAAGCTTATTCTTAAATTAAAGAAATAAAATTCTTACCATGTCGCTTGCTGGCCTGCTGCTGTGTTACAGTTCTGGATTAGTGCAAAGGCATCTCTGCTAATTTTTTGAGCATCATACTGGGATAAGGCACAGCAGCGCGTTAAATTGGTATGTTTACCACCCTGCATATGGATGCCAACACTCAATTGTTTAGCTACCCGGTTGTTCTGTGGAAAAAATCAATAAAATAAATGATGGAAATAGATCCATAAAAGACCATAACAAGAGTTATTTGAAAAATGAAGCCCCTGAAATTTTTCATCACTGAAGATATAGCCAACAGAAAATGGTTAACTTTATCCCAGTAGTCCTAAGACTTTTACAGTTTGTGGCTGTAGCCCCTCCCAACTCAGTTATATTTTCCTTTCTTCCATCTGGGCCAAAAGACAGTAGAATGCAGCCATTAATGAATGGATTAATTGAATTAAGAAATAGACAATGAATTAAGAAACAGGAAACTCTGAGCTAATGCAATGGAACAAAGACTGTAGAAAAAAAATGGCCTCAGCATGCTTTTTAGATGGTCGTATTTCTTTTTTCCAAGTTTTTGTTCCCCTCTTGCCCATTCCACTGATTTTTTTCACCATTTTCACTCTTCAGAGCAGACATCCATTTATCACCAGAAATTCTACTCAAGATCATGGTAGTCAATTGTGCAGCAGAACACTTGTAAGAAAGCCCTGAATTAAACAAACCTCATCAATAGCAACAGCTGTTCTCCCATGCTTGTTCTATACACACACACACACACACACACACACACACACACACTGGTTAGATAACATGATGCCTACCTGGTCTCTGTCCTTATTCAATCTCTCTTCCAGCTCCAAGGCCAACTGCAAGAGCCAATACTGCACCTTCAGACAAGCATTACAATACAGTTACAATCCGAAGACTATGGTTAGTATGCTACTAACTTAAATCAAAAGAAAATCTTGCTTTCTTCAACTTTCAGATTCCTGTACCCTCAAAATCAAAACCAGATCTATGCGTACATAGATTCATAACAACAATACAAAATCAATACCATATAATCTATGCAGTTGGGAAAGTACCAAAATAAAATGCAGAATGACTTTCTGCTTATTGTCCAAGAAATCTATAATCCAAATTACTTCAATATATTATAAGAGCTACAGGGTATTCCCACTAATGGAACTCTCAAAGGAAGTTTTCCAACAGCCTCTTTATTGATTGTTGAAGATCTAAGTGCAATGATGCAAAGGTGAAGATCTTATGCCCCATTCTCCAACAGCAAATCATATTTACCCCTGCACTACGGTAGTAGAAGAGCTATTTGTTATTCTGAGTTGACCTTCTATGTCAGTGGTTCTCAACCTGTGGGTCGCGACCCCTTTGGGGGTCGAATGACCCTTTCACAGGGGTCGCCTAAGACCATCGGAAAACACTTATTTCCGATGGTCTTAGGAACCGAGACACCGCTCCTCTATCCGTCTCTGCACGGCTTCGAGCTGGGGGCCATTGCAGCGCCGGATTCGTTTCTGTCGAGCATCTCCTAAGGGAGGCTGCGCTGCTTCGCGGCCCTTTCCGTGGAGGAGGCTGAACTAAGCTCTGCTGGTGCTGTCGCCCTCTTGGCTCTCTCTCTCTCTCTCTCTCTCTCTCTCTCTCTCTCTCTCTCTCCCCCCCCCTCTCCCTGCCTGGGCGCTTCTCCAAGCAGGCTGGGCGGAGCCGGCAGAGCGGCCTTCCTGCCCCCCCTCCCCGGCCAGCTGGAGCCGGGCAGGCCGGCGACCTTCGGAAGTGAAGCACGGACAGGTGAGGCGCGCTGAGCCCCGGGCGTGGCGGGTGAGTGGGCGGCGTCAGTGCGCGCTTGGAGAGCCCTTAGGGTTGGGGGTCACCACAACATGAGGAACTGTATTAAAGGGTCGCGGCATTAGGAAGGTTGAGAACCACTGTTCTATGTCTACCTCTTTAATACTAATTTGAGTATGGGCCTCCCTAAAATGGGAGGATAATAGGACACACTGCAGATAATGAGAAGGCAGCTGGTTGGCTCTGAATATTTCTATATAGTTTGCACTAGAATTAAGGAGTATAATGAAGGGCAGTTATTTTGGAATTCTGAATGAATAAGTCTATACAAATTTTGCCAAAATGTATTCCAATTGGCTCAAGACCTGCCAGTCCAAAGCACATGCTATTCTCTCTGCACATTTTTACCTGCTTCTGAGTAACCAATGCTGTTTTTCCAGGGAAATTCTTACTGCAACCAATGGACTTTGGCAATTGTCTAGCTTTCACAGGCTCATAGTCAATTCCTCTGCATAGTTCATATAACCAGGATCTGTAAATCATACATAGAACTTCAAGTAAATAATTCTTCTAAGTTTGTGACTAATCGTTGATTTATGTTGCTATTTGTTTAATTATCCAAAATATTTGGAAGTTACATCAATTTAAAATAAAGGATTCCAAAATCCTTTGGAACAGGCCCTTGCCACGAAGGTTGTACCATTTATATATTTCCATTAAAGCCACATTTTGCTCAGTAGGTTCCAAAGTTCACCAACTAGGTGCAAAATAATGGTTCAAAAAGGCAGATACAGAATTAAGGAACAAGGAGTCTCTGACACAGGACTTAGTTTTCAGTATCCAAATAGATTATGTGTACTGTACCTACATTTTTACACCCACAAATCTACCGTTTCTCCTACTGTTGAAACACTGCGAATCATAAACTCTTTTTTTGTGGAGTATTACAAACCAAAAGTAACACTGGCCACCCAAAGATCCACCTGTCCATGTGTTTTACATTACTATGACATATTCCCATTTACATTTGTTGTATCTTAAGACATCTATGAATTCTATGCTGAGCTCAGTGAAGTAAAAAACAGGAGATATCATGTAAAAACATTAAAAGATGAGTCCAAGAGATCAATACTTGTGGCTGAAGGGAAGTTGGGAATATAATCCAATAAATTGCTGTTATTAGCTGGAAAGCTATTACAGGAAGATTTCATTTGGCACTCATTCATTTAATATCCCACTTGTCAATCCAAACAGCATTCCAAGGGGTTAGAATAGCCCCACATTGTATCAACTAGTCTTATGTTTTATTTGTTATCATATTTGGCTGATATTTTTTTTAACTAAAAACTCCTCATTTCAAAATAGAACATATTTCATACAACACTGCATTTGTTTTTCATTGCTTCCCACTTATTTTCCTTTGGAATAAGTGAATAAGCAAAAGAAAACATAAGAACACACCGATTCAGATTCTCAGCAGAACTAGCCTACTTTCTATACACTCCATTCCAAGTTAAGTACTACACAGCCTTTACTGTATAAACACACACAAAAAATACATAGAATCGAAAATTTCAAAAAAGGGACTTGCCCAGTTTTCTCTCCAAAATGTGTGTGAAGCTGTGATTCACTGAACTGGATCAGCTCTCCCATATACTGCACTCCGAGACATTCAGTAATAGAAGCACCTAGTTTCCCTCCAAGGTTGCGACTATAGGAGAAAAAGAAGCCAATTGGATGGAGAATGGAAAGTACTAGATCTGGGTACCAACCAACAAAAGTATTCAGGTAATCACCCAAAGAGCGAAGGACTGTAGGATTTGCGCTATTTGACGAATGGCTAAAGCATATTGACAGAATCGGTAATGAATAAGTAGCTTCTGCCTATACTAGTAGGAAGCAAGCACAAATATGCCCAAGCAGTAACATGCAGGAGAAAAGCATCACTTGGAAATTCATGGCTATATCCTCAGTTTTACGTACATGTTGCTGATTGGCATCTTGCTAAAGAGTTGAGGAACAGCCACCTGTGATACCAGAGTCTGTCGATTTGGTTTGTTGAGGCCACAGGCCAGTTTTGCTAATACCTGAAATGAACCAAATGGCTAGTTTACCAACAGTGGCTTTTCAATTTCCCGAATTCAAATTTTAGAAGAAATCAAAATATAGGACATAGGGCAAAATATAACTACTCAAAATTATACAAAGATAGAGGGTCACTGTATTGTGGAATTTCAAGGATACAGTGACACATTTAACTTATTTAACCAAAAGAAAATAATATCTGGTCAAACATATAAGTTCTCCTATGTTTTCCCTCATTTTTATTCTTATCTGTTATTTGCATTTAATTCATTCTATGGCCAAAACTCCCAATATAATTGTGTTTATTCTTAATACCAGGATCTATAAAATTACAAAAAAACATTTAAAGCAAACTTGGAAAGAATGATCTGTTCACAAGCAGAGCTTTCTATAGAATTCTGGAAAGTACTGCATTAGCTTCAACTTGGGCTACTTGCTTTTTGATCCAGGATAGAATTGCCCCACTTTGTGGGTATTCATTCCACTTTGTCCTGAAAGCCTTTGACGGTTAAGTGGAGCAAGACTAAGCCTGAGCAGGTAGCAGACTTAGAATGTCCACCTCCTGGGGGAAGCCACTTCAGGGTTGAATAAGCTGCATTATTTTTTGTTATAAGAGTTTATGAGATTCCTGCAAATATATAAGGGGAAGGATAGGTGGCTCCAGTTAGGTGGGCAGATGGAAGTGTGTTTCAGGGAAAATAACAGGTCAGGTTATGAAGAAAAGAGAGGAGATAACTTGTGCCAGTTCCTTCCTCCTCTTGTTACCTAAATAGACTGTGGTAATCATGTTGGCTTTTACCCTATGGCCTACAGATGTTGTTGCTAAATGCCAAGTCTCACCCTCGATTTGACGATGGATGAAGAGGCTGACCTGGAGTATAACTGAACCCTGAATCAAATACTATATATATATATATATATATATATATATACACACACATACATACATACATACATACATACATATATATACATACATACATACATATATATACTCTCTCTCTCTCTCTCTCTCTCTCTCTCTCTCTCTCTCTCTCTCTCTCTCTCTCTCTCTCTCTCTCTCTCTCTCTCCTTCAACTCCCACAATTCCTGAGTCAGCATGGCTAGTTCAGGAATTCTGGGTATTGAAGTCCACAAGTCATAAAAGAGCCAAGGTTCCCTACCCCTGGTCTAGGACATCTCAACATTCAAGCCACAACTGCTTTGGCTGAGACTTTATGGCCTCGTGGCAACCACAGGCCTGTCATAACTTATTACGGATGAAAGACGTGCCAGGTTACACTCTGTAATTGTTTTTTCTAATGGGCAGAAGGACGGTGGCCAGAAATTGTGGGACTTTATGTCTGTTCCCTTGTTACGGGCAAACCATTTCCCATGAGATTAGACTTGTAGCAACTATTTCTCTTCCTACAGGTGGAGGAAGAGCACCCAACCCACTCTAGGTGGTACATATCTCAGCTGAGAGCAGTTAGGCAAATAAGAAGGCGACTCATCTGGAAACTGACTCACTATAAGCATCTTTTAGGACATAACAACCCCAAAATAAATTTTACTCCACCGTAGCATCTCCTCAGTATTATCCAGCAGATCTTTCCCAAGTGCTTCAAGGCCTTCCTTTCTTCTTTCTCTTTTATATTTCCTCCATTCATTGGATACAGATTTTGACATAGACCAATGAAGACTTGTATATGTTGAGTGAGTTCAACATTAGAAAACAAGCAGCCATACCTTATTGTGAGAAATTCCAACAGAACATTGAAATCCAGTGACAGACTCCACAGCAGCCCTCATTTCTTCCATAATCATTGCCCCTACTGTCAGCTGCAATTCTGGATTGCTGGGATCTCCACAAGGCAATGACTTGAGCCACTGGGACACACCACGTTGCCTTATCTCCTCTAAAAAGGAACATAAACCGATTCAAAGCAAGCATCTTGCTAGATTGTTAACCACTTATAACCATATTCATTAATGAACCACATATCAATATACCAATAAGCTGTTTTTAGCATCTAATGCCATTCATTATATAATGCTATGCTACAGTGATAATATATATAACCTCACACAATGCATTTATGTGACTGGAGCATGTGAGACCCATTCAAAGCAGACCAAAAAGCATAAAGATTTGCTCAGGAAGACTTCAGTTTATACAACATGTAAAAAATCATAATAAAAGTTTGAGGAACATACACCATGGTTCCTAAAAAAACAGATGTGAGAAAAGTCCCAGTGTTGGACCAAACAAGCCTTGCTAGAATGTATACATATGTAAAAGGGACTACTGTCCTAGAGAGTCAGCACACAGAATGAGCACTTTGTGTTGGTATTCTATTTTGATTTTTCTGAAACCCAAACATATCACAGTGAACTAAACTTTTAAGTGAGAAAAGCCTGCATGAATGAATCTTTTAGTTCCAAAAGTAAACAAGAAATGTGGGAAACCAGTCTCTGGTTCCCTATACTTTAGTTTAGATAAAAAGAATAAGTAGCACTGAAAGTTTTTCTAGCTTCAATGTGACAATCTCAACTCATCCCTAATAGCAATATCACAGAAGATCAAGTGAATGCGGTTGGGGGAGAGAATCCAATCTGCTTGCAAATGCTATTCAATTTGCATAACTGGATAATGGAGTCTCCCTCCCCTCTCTCTCTCACACACACACACAAACACATTACCTTTGTTGTCCGTATTTTCTTCTTCTTCAAGGCTGTTTGGGAATCCTTGAATATATGTAGTTCCCAACTGCTCTGCTGAAATAGGTTGATCCTTCATCTTCTGCAGCCTTTCCTGTATAGTTTGAGTTAAGTCCAGATAAGCTTCATCAATGCTGGCACGTTCAATCACAGCAAAGCGTGACATCACTTCCATCACCTCTATGCTGGCTTCTCTGTATCTACATAAAGACACCAAAAAAAATTGATATTTCTGTTTATCCTACCCTTTCCATCTCAGGAATCTAATAAAAATCTAGCCATCAAAGTGATGGGTCTGTAGCATTATTTTTTTCATAGCACCATGTAGAGTTTGACAACTTACATGAGAATCCCTTAATCACCTTTTTTGTTTTTGTATAGCTTCAAAACCTCTGAAATTATACATCCATCCAAATTCAGCCATAAACTATTTTTGATGATCATAGCTCTATGATTTTTAGCAGAAAGTAATAAAATGAATAGAAAATGAGATATGCAAAGTTTCAGGCTTTAAATGTTTTAAAAAATGAGGTAAAATCCTGTCCCGTTCCCCACACATACACATACATGCAAAAATTCCTTTAATTCATTCCTAGTGCTACTATTACATCACTGTCCTAAATACTGTTACCATATTATATTTTTTTAAAGATGAATAGACTGAAATACTGCATCCAGTTTTTTAAGAAGCAGCATAACATATTTCTTTAAACTGTTTGGAAAACAAATATAAGTTCCAAAAGCAGAAAATTCACCAAAAAGTAGCTGTGATTAAAAATCATCCTGAGTCATTTTTTTTGTTTCAGATGGTTTTCCAATTACTTAAGGGGAAAAAACAAGAGAAATTGTAAAAGGCTATCAACCCCAGGTTTACCTGGTGAGATCTGCTTTGCCACGCGCCTCTGGTACTCTAGCCAACTGGAGATCTGGGCACAATTTCTTGGCATCAGCAGCCCACATGTTTCTTTTAACCCCCAAAGCACGTGCTTCATAGCTCACAGCAATTATCCTGAGTTCCATGAAGGGAAAATATATTAGACATTACATGAAGGACAAAATGATCAAAAATTTTCCAGTTTAGCATTAGATAAGAGAACTTACAATATCACCTACAGATTGAATACAACTGAGGATTTTCTTCTTAAATCATAAAATATTTTAGGCATTTTGAGGTAATATTCATGCCTACAACATTTAGAATATACTGAGAAACTAAGGAGCCTGTGGGAATTGACAGCTGCTGAATCACTGCAGGTACCACAGTGCTAGCGGTTTTATTTCCAAGTTAAAAATACATATTTTGGCCAAGGCTGAGCAAAAATTATCCTATTCAAGGATTCTAGAGTTCTGTGTATAAAACACAAAAGGACCAGAGAACTGTTAAGGAAGCCAGTTTGAGAGACAGCTGATATTGAAATGAGGAAACTACCAAAGCAGGTCCAGAAATAAGACCACATATACATGTAAAATCCATTTTTTTTCCTGCTATGGTTTATGAATCCACATTATTTAATCTAGATATGTATGCAAAGCAAAACACTGAATGCAAAACACTATTTACGTACAATATTTATGTGCTGTAAATAAAATGCATAAGGAAGCCTTTTTTTGTGTGTGGTCTTGAATCAGCTTTTTGAATCGTGGACTAGTCTGGACTAGTCCCTGCAGTTTTCTTGGCAACATTTCGCAAATTCTGCCCTCCTTCCTAGACCTGAGAGAGAATGACAGGCGCAAGGTCACTCCGTCGCTTGTACCCTCATCACACCAAACTTGGGGGGGGGGGGGTGTAGAACTAGGTTAAAATCGTCTCCCCGAAGTCCCAGTGTCTTTTAACAATGTTAAAGTCCCAGTTAAGTTCCAGTTCTTTTAACAATGCCGGAAGAAGACATCACTCGTTTGTTTTCTGAAGTGAAGTCATTCCTTCGCCTCAATTATCTACCACTTCATTTCGTTCCCTCTACAACAGCGTTTCTCAACCTTGACCATTTTAAGGCATGTGGACTTCAACTCCCAGAATTCCACAGCCAGCAATGCTGGCTGTGGGATTCTGGGAGTTGAAGTCCACATGCCTTAAAATGGTCAAGGTTGAGAAACACTGCTCTACAAGAAGAAGAGCTTCCTACCCGCCACCTTTCCAGGTCTTATACTGCACCACGACACACGGCTTTCCATGCAGACGGGGATCCAGGCGTCGCTCCACCTGTATGTAGAAGCAGTCCATATCCGCCAAAGCCACCACTCGCTCCTGCCCCCGAACCATCGCGGTCCGCTGACGGCCACCAACCAGGATTAAACCGAGGCCAAAAGAGAATTCCGCTATAAACTCCCTGCCCGAGTTACGTTCCCGCCATCTTGAAGGATTAAAGAAATAAAAATCCCTCCCTGCACGGTTTCTAACTTCCGCCCCAAAACACAAGGCACCTTGGGAAACGTAGTTTAAAAAGAAACACACCCGTAAAAGTATTTTCCTTCGAATGCAGCTCGACTTTTCACGCTTTTATGGACAGATCCGTTTTTTTCTTCTGAGTATGAAAACTATTTGCCTTTTGCCTTCTCTGGGGTTTTTCTCCCCCCCCCCCCGATTTCCCACATTACCCTATGTGAGACAAAAGCCGGGTTGGTCTATGTTGGCCTGTTAACTGAGCCGCTCATTTAGTTAAAAAGTGTAAGTTTTAATGATCTGCAGCTCTCTTCATCAGAAGCACAGGGTGCGAGACCGATGTAGGATTCAAATTGGGGCAAGTCAGGGAGGGGAAAACAGGTTGGTGTAAAGGTTGTTGATGAAAGAGCTGCAGATCACAAAATCGTATGCCAGTCATAAGATAACAACCTAGTCCAGGGGTAGGCAACCTTGGCTCTTTTATGACTCGTGGACTTCAACTCCCAGAATTCCTGAGCCAGCTGTGCTGTCTTGTCTGGCTCAGGAATTCTGGGAGTTGAAGTCCACGAGTCATAAAAGAGCCAAGGTTGACTACCCCTGGACTAGGTTGTTATCTTTATAGGCAGGTATCTTGACTTATGACTGGCATACGATTTTGTGATCTGCAGCTCCTTTCATCAACAACCTTTTCACCAACTTGTTTTCCCCTTCCTGACTTGCCCCAATTTGAATCCTACATCGGTCTCTGACCTAGTCAGTCCCTGCTCGTTTGCCTGTGGTCTGCCTAGCAGTTCGCTTTCCTCTGAAGATGCCAAAAAAAAACCCGTTAGGAACTCTTATTGTCTAAATTAAGATCACTAAACCCTGAAGTACAACACTAACCAAAAGCTAACACCATTTCATAAAATGATTTGGTCAAAAAAGGTGGTACCCAGACCGTTTGGTAGCCTAAGAAGCTTAAGAAACGTGAGTTTTATGACTCCTGGACAGTGTTGAGGACAATTATTCCTGCATCCGGCCCCCATTCACCCATGAAACTAAATCTGAAACTCAACCCTGTCAAGCTTAGGTCCATTTTTTTAAAGCTGAAAGTCCTTTCACCCATTTCTGAGCATTCCCTGTTGCAGATCGGCCTTTGTGGAATGACCTTTCTCTGAAGAAAGGGAAAAACCAAACATTTGGAGGGGGGGGGAGAAAGAAAAATCTGAAAGAACCGAAGTCCCGCCTCCAATAAGGAAAACCAGGCATTCCACTCTTCGAACTCTATATGCGTACCATAGAGTTGTCCAGCTTGTCCGGCCGCCGTTCTTTGAAGATCAGCTGATCTCCCGCACATGCGCGCTGCGACTTTTCTCTCCGCGGACCCGGCACGGTGTTGCTTCTTGGCTTTCCCCCCCCCCCGTGCTTGGTTGCCGTGGGCAACGGCACCTTTCTTCCTCCTGTTCCCCCCCACCCCCCCCCTCCCCCCCCACCGATTCTTGCTTCCAGGCCACAATGTCGTGGGACCCCGTGAACACGCTCTGCGAGCAACTGGTGAAGGCGGTGACGGCGATGATGGACCCGGCCTCCACGCAGCGCTACCGTTTAGAGGCCCTCAAGGTATCGTGGCGGCGGCGGCGGCGGCGGGAACGCCCCTTCGAGCATGCACGCAACGAACGGCCCGAAAGGAAACTCGCTGTAGGGGGAGGCTGGGACGGAAGCGCATGGCCGCCGCCGGCATTTCCTGCTGGCCTTTTTTTTTACTGTTCCTCGTCTGGTCACCCTTTCGGGATGGAGAAGACGGAAACTCCCTTTGCCTCTTCGGCTTTATTGATGCCTTTGGGCCTGGGGTAGGCAACCTTGGCTCTTTTATGACTCGTGGACTTCAACTCCCAGAATTCCTGAGCCAGCGTGGCTGGCTCAGGAATTCTGGGAGTTGAAGTCCACGAGTCATAAAAGAGCCAAGGTTGCCTACCCCTGCTTTGGGCCCTCGACGCTTCTTGGGCGCACATTCCCGCCCCGCCGTCCCGATCGGTCGGCTGCCCGTGCCTTGTCCATGTGCGCCGCTTATTCTGAGATAAAAGTATTATTTAAAATCCTTCCTGCTACAGGTGGTAGGTCCTCGACTTAACGACCACAATTGAGCCCGACGTGTCCGTTGTTAATTGAGGCATTTGTCCAGTGAGATTTGCCCCGCTTTACGGCCTTGCTTGCTGCAGTTGTTAAGCGCTACAGTTGTTAAGTGAATTGCGGAAGCTGATAAGCTAGTAACCTGGTTGTTAAGGGAATCTGGTTCCCCCATTGACTTTGCTTGTCAGAAGGTCGCAAATGGTGATCACGTGGCCTTGGGGTAGTATCCTGAAAGTTGTATCCAGAGTGTGATATACATCACTTGCTGGTATGCAGTATAATACCATACGCTACCATGTTTTCAAAACAATATAGTAGGAATTGTTTCAAATAATACTTTATCTCAGAATTCGGTTCGTAATTAACTTGGTGGACAAATTATGCACTTGTCTGCTTCAAATAAATTCTTATTCCTTTTCAGTTTTGCGAAGAATTTAAAGAAAAAAGTCCAGTTTGTGTTCCTTGCGGATTGAAATTAGCAGAAAAATCCCAGACTGCTATTGTCAGGCATTTTGGGCTTCAGATCTTGGAGCATGTGGTGAAGTAAGATTTTTTTAGTTCCACCAAGTGGTGTAATATTGCAATTTCCCAGATGTTTTTTAGCTTGAAGTTAGACTTGCAACAATCTTATAATATAGCAATAGATGCAATCATATTGTTATAATATCATTATAATAGTTTAGAGTTTATAACAAAGGCGACCTGGTGGGCAATTCCTAGAAGGAATTGATACTCAGTATTTTGGTGTTAATGAAATAGCTTGCACACACTTGCTATAGGACACAATCCCTACCTTTCTCTGTAGTATTCACCCACCCTCCAGCTTGCTTATTAGCCTCCCCCCCCATGCCTCCCCCCCCCCAGGATTTGTGACTTCCAGTTGGCATTCTCATTGACTTTGCTTGTGGGAAGGCAGCAGGAGGTCACAGTTACGTGAGATCCTTGCTTAACAACAGCAATGAAGATTGCTAGGATTGTCACTACTATACTCATACTAATACTCACGTGGTCACATGATATAGCAGTTTATGACTGCATTGCTTAGCAAGACCCAGTTATTGTTGTTAAATGGGAACTGCCTTTAATTCTTTTAAAGATTATACTGCTTTTGCTTTTATACGGGAAAGTTGAGCTGGATAGGACAACTTGAGAACAGAATATCTCTCTTATATTACCATGTTATGAAAGTTTACTTATTATTAATCAACATAACAGAGATTTGATGTCTGTGTTTTTTGGGGTTAGATTTCGATGGAATACTATGGGTCGACTTGAGAAAGTCTTTTTGAAGAACAATGTCATGGCACTAATATCCAATGTAAGTCTCGCTACTTCTTGAACGTAAGCTGCTAAATTTTATTTTAATGGTACAGTATTTTTCACAAAAATAAGGTGTTATTGTTTAAATCATTCCTTAGTTATAGACTCTATAATTCGTGATGAAAAGCTGCACGTCAGCTATAAAAGCAAGGAATAAAACTTGTCTCTATGATATTGTTCATACATGTAGTAAAGCAGTTTTTTGTATAAACAATACAGTATGAGACTGGGCTTTTACATTTCTCTGGATATAAATTGTCACATTTAATATAGAAATAATCAAAACATTGTTTTTATAGTTATCCTACTTAAAGTATTCCAAACTCTATTAGACTAGGATTGTGTGCTTACTTGATTTAATTTAAAGGGTTCTTTAAAAATTTATACTGTATTTCTAAAGATAGGTCTGTGAGTATTGAATAATATAATAGTCCTGTCTTCCATCTTGTAATCTTTCAATGTTTCATTAACAGGGTACCCAGAATATTTTAGAAGAAGAAAGTCACATTAAGGATGTTCTCTCTCGCATTGTGGTAGAGATGATTAAACGTGAATGGCCACAGCATTGGCCTGATATGCTGAAGGAACTGGACACGCTGTCTGAAGAAGGGGTAGGACGTCCTACAGTGATATTGCTCTACCTTTTTTGGACTTGTTTTTGTAGATTGGCCACACTTACAGGGCATGAGTACAATTTTATGATTTTGGGTGAGGTCACGTCAAACAATAAATTTCTAAAAGCTAAAATATGAAAAATACAGATCTCATGTGAGAAGATCGATCTTGTAAAAATTATATCCATTTCTAATATTAATTTTCATTATCCCTTAATAATGATAGTCAATAGTATAAGTTGGGAGTGCTGTGAGCGCTATGGAGGCTCCAATTCTCTCTGGGAGATAATTGTACTTGAGGTTATTGCATCTGGTTATGTGCCCGGTCCTTCAGCATAATCCATAGTCATCCTCTGGAAACTAAATGTTATTCCTATGGTAATGAGAATTGTTTCCTTTTGGTTTGCTTTGCTTTTCATTCTAGGAAACCCAGACAGAGTTAGTGATGTTCATACTTCTGCGCCTGGCAGAAGACGTGGTTACTTTCCAGACATTGCCAGCCCAACGACGACGGGATATTCAGCAAACTCTTTCCCAAAATATGGAGAAAATTTTCAGTTTCCTGCTAAATACACTACAGCAAAATGTTAATAAATACAGATGTGCGGTAAGAGGCCCCCATTGGTTAATAAGAACTACATAGTCTCAGATGTCAGGAATGACAAAAAAAATGAGAACATCATTGATACAGTTAGCTCCTTATGTGAAGTAGAGTCAAAAGAATTTGATCCTTGTGGCAGAAAACATCCCCTGGCTTTTGAAGTAAAATTGATTTATAGAGACTCAAGAATTATAGCAAATCCACAGAGACTATGTTTTCATGTGTAGCTTATTGCTTTTATTTTAAATAAATTTAAAATAAATCCTGCAATAAACCAGTAAATGTTGAAAATTGGACGTTATGTACAAAAAGGGACTAACCAGCCTTAA